TTTATATAGAGGTGGTCACTATAGGCAGGTGGTCGTTATATAGAGGTAGTCACTAAAAATGTTTGACTGTAACACGGATAATTGTGCAGTGCCTAAGGTCAAAATAAATGTTCTTTTAGTGAATCATCCAAATAATAAATTTTTGGTTATTTGCACTTGATTTAGATCAAATACAGTATTCATAATTCAACGTATTATTTGACACAATCCTGTGAATTCTAATGCTTTCTTTTTTCACAGATTCTTGTAGATTTACGTGAATTTCGCAGTGAGCTGCCGTCTTTAATCCACAAACGAGGAATTGAAATTGAACCAATCACATTGGAGGTAGGAATCAACAGTACCCATAACAAATTTAATTTTAACATTAAACCACTATGGTTATATAACTCATTACACTTGTAGATTTAGTGTTTACATATAGTTTTCAGTGGCAATAATCAAAACTGATTGTGTGAATACTGCCATCTATAGGTGGGTTTCACTATATCTTATTTTGTTGATATTTTGTACTCTGAGTTGACCTCTATTAGATTTTGTTCATTTAATACTGATGACATTATTCTCTAATTTAACAAGGCCTTTTCATAGTAGCATTTCTATGGGATTGACGTACTAGAATGAATGGGTTCAATTATCAGTGTTCACTGATGACATCATTGACTCTAGAGGCGAAATGGCGCCAGTCAAAGCGGACGTTTGTCGTCTGCTTCACAACCCGTTTTATACCCGATATTTAGGGCATTTCGCAGCACATACAAGTTGTTTTTATTGCCAGAATTCATTCATAGATCTCAAATTTCATATACAGAGTGACAAAAGCCAGACCTTTGCTCCCCTTTAAGTGAATATTTTTGTCATTTTTGGTGAAAGATTAGTGACTATGTTAAACACTATAATTTTGAAAACCAACAGCTTAATTGTCAATAATCTCGTTATCTATTACAGGTTGGTGACTATATACTCACTCCTGACATGTGTGTGGAGAGGAAAAGTTTGAGTGATTTGATTGGTTCATTGAATAGTGGTCGTCTCTACAACCAATGTACATCCATGTCAAGATATTATGCTAAACCAATACTACTCATAGAATTTGATCCAAATAAATCATTTGCACTGCAGGTGAGTATGTAGTTATGGTGATGGTGGATTTATCAAATATTCATGAACGACCCACGAGTCGGTTCTATGCGAGATAGCGTGTAACCTACAGTGTCCTATTGGCTGTCAGTTCTATGAATTGGACATTCTGAAAAACATTCTTTTTATTGTCACTCAAATATTGTTATGGAATGCAATACAGTAATGCCCTGTTCAGGATTCAGTTAAATGTGCATGGCAGTGTGCCGTAAAATGATATGACGCATCATTGACACATTCAGATTTGGTGTGAGGCAACTAGTTATGCTCATTCCCTGACATTGACACAAATCATTTGATATAGTGATCTTGAAAAAAACATCTTACTATAATTGCAACAATTTTAATTTCATAAAATGAAATTCACATTTTAAACAAAAAAGTGATATGGGTGATAAAATTTGTGATTGTTACCAAGTCCCCTGCACAGTCACAGACAATTTTGTTCTTTATTTGCTCTATTAGAATTCATAACTATCGACTTTATTTCATATTTGAAATTTATTTCAGCCGAAAACAGCCCTGGGAAGCGAGATTTCGATTCAGAATGTCTCATCCAAGCTCACTCTGTTGACGTTACATTTTCCAAAATTGAGGATATTCTGGTGTCCTAGTCCGCATGCCACAGCCGAACTCTTTGAAGAAATCAAGGTCAGTTGGATGAGATTATTGTCATGTTTTTTCAATAGGAAACCTAAAAATTTCTATTTAGACAATTAACATATTTGCGAGTATTTTTGTTCACACTGACAGTATCATCAAACTTTGAAATGCATTGACATGATGTGTAATGTATAGAAGATTTGTTTTCATGTGTGTACATTACTTGTAACAAGATATATAATAATACAATATATAATAAAGCTATTATATAAATATCTCTTTATATTGTTATACTTTGTTGCAGATTGGCAAGGAACAACCAGACAGTGCTGTTGCCATGACAATAACTGGTGATGAGAGTGAAATATCTGATAAATACAACTATTCTACATACGACTTTGTTATAAAGTTGCCAGGAATCAACTCAAAAAACTACTGGTGAGTGTAAAAGAAGCATGGATCATTTGTTGATAAAATAATACAAGGAATATAGTATAGCTTTCTTGTAAAATAGTCAAATTTAGTGAGTTTTAATACAGTTTATTTGATACATTGTCAAACTATGTAGTATTGTGAATTACAAGTTACATACAGGTATATCAAACAGCCCCCTCAGTGGCAACTTGTAGATTAGCTCCCTCATAGTTCAGTTATACATAGACCACTTTCCCAGAAGTAGCAAAACTGGGGTGCAAAAATACATCTGTCACGGCAGAAAATACAAACATGTCAGATTGCTGATAGTTGATAGAAGGGAATTCTATCTTTGTTACATCGATTGGTACACCCAGAAACACAATATCACGCGTACAAGTTTACGTTACACCCCAAAACGGAATGCGTGCGCATGCAAAAAGCCATATCTTTGACTTCCAGGAAAGTGGCCTATTCTGATGGCTCACACCTATTTATGTCTCCAGCACAGAAAAAAACAATATCATTTGATCTGAACTGCAAACTAAATCAAGGGACTTATCAAATTTGTTGATAACATCATTAGATGTATCGTTGAGAGAATATATACTTCATTTAATTCTATAAAGTTCCATACAGGTATATCAAACAGCCCCCTCTGTGGCAGTTGTGCTGATTAGCGCCCTCATAGTTCACATACCAATTTTTTTGACAGGATGATACTGAATAAAGTGAAGAACCTGACAGAGTTGATTGGTTTGAGTCAAGAGGAGTTATGCAAATTACTTGACAATTCAAATAATGGCAAAGCATTGTGGGAGTTCTTGCACCACAAGCATGGAGTGGAGAGCAAAGAAGGAGCTGCAGGGGTCTCCAAGGATACGCGTTACAACAAAGGCAAACAGAAGATGAAGAAATAAACATGACTAAAATTAAATTAACAGTTTAATAATTTTTTCATTATTTCAATTTGATAAATAAATACTGATATCTTGCAGAAATGAAGCTTTTGTTTTATGTACAATTTATGACTACAACAATAACCTTAATCTTTTCATCACAAATTCACAAAATAGTCCTGTTTATAGTCTGCACTTTTCTTTCGAATACTGGGACAAAAATAGCCAAATTTTTTTCACTATAAAAACTGAAAATTTACACAAATTTTGTCTGTTCGCTCCAATATTTCTAATATTGGTGAATATAAGAAAAGTACAGAAACATTTTGGCGAGAAAGTCTGTTGTGAAAAAGTTAGTACATAGTTGCATTGCATAAAGCCATGTAATATTTGGAGAAAACCATGTGAACAAATATGACTTCAATCAGACAGGAAGGTCTCCAAGGGGATGATATCATATTATACAGTATGTCTGTTGTACATGATGATTATCCCATAAAGCAGCTAACTTTATTTATGTTGTGTCTATATCTAAAAATTGACTTTCAATATTTGACATCCTGAAAGGTTTGCAATATAATTAATGCTTTTAACAAACATGATTTCCCAGGAGACAAGTTAACCAATCATAGATTCAACGATCGATCATTCTAAATACAAAGATGTGGTTGCCTAGCAACAACTGACATGATTTTCTACACATACACTGCATAGTAATATTTCACCTGTCAGAGCAACAATTGAACATACTGTGGAATACTTTATTTTCGCTGGAATTAATTTTCGCTGAAAAGGCTTTTTGGGCGTTCTTTATGGAATTTATTTTCATTGATTTTTGATTAATTGAATGTGAAATATAGGAAAAAAAGTATATTCACTGGATTTTATTTTCACGGAATCATCCCTTCAGCGAAAATAGCGAAAATAAATTCCAAGCGAAAATAAAGTATTCTACAGTATTATACAAGTCGGGGGAAGCTTTGAATTCAAACAAACTCACAAATCTACTTATGGTATGGCCTAATCATCTCAATTTCAGGGTATGGTCTAATACCCAGCTCTGATGATAATTTTGTTGACTACAAATTTCATACAAGAATACTGTTACTGGATCTGCTCATCTCCAATGAAAGCAGTGCCTATGAGCCAAAAATTCTGTAAACTGAATTATTAACATATAATTCTTTTGACCAGGGGAACACCTCAGTATGGAATTTATGAAAATGCATTTATGCAACTAATAGAGCAAATACGATAACAGTTAAATTAATGTGTTTAAAAAGTTGTCATGTTAAATGATATCATTGAAGCCTACAAAATACAATCCATTCAAACAAATACTGGTAACATAGTGGTGGGCCCAGGATTGGTAGGTACAGTGCTTACACCCGAGGCTGAACACCAAAATAGGGTCAACTCGTGTAAACTGGTTGAGTACTCCATCAACTCAATGAGAATTGTGCTCTAATTTATTCACTGTTTTAGATAAATTATAGTCTCTCTACTGTTCTAAAAAAATCATGTTACCAACGTGCAAATTTCATGTACCAGTAATTTATTATTAATGTGTTTATGATCTCAGAATTGGACCAAATTTTGTTAGCCTCAAAGAAATGAAAGTGCATGATTAATTAATTAATTAATTAATTATCAATATTGTTAACTAAGAAAATCCTGTAATTTAGTGTAAAAAAAACAGAGGTGTACTCTGAATATTTCACCATGCAGCTCTCCTTACCTATTACCTTAATATACCTATTTCAAGGTTTTTTTCTTAGCAATTTAAAACCAAAAATAAGCAGGTTTGACACAAATTAGATCTAATGATTCAAGCTCGCACATCTATGAAAAGAAACTGTTCCCATTATTGTTCTGCTAACATACTGTCTCACATTAGTGAGTATTCTAGGAGTAAAGCATATACTGTAATATGAGAATGGAGATAGAATTCATGCAGCTATATTTCATATTTATTAAGCCCCAATATTATTTATAGTAAATAATAGAGTTGATACAATTTAGTCCCAAATGTAGACATACTGTAGAAAACTCTGAAAGCTGAAAACTCTTTTTGGGCGTTTAGTATGGAATTTATTTTCACTGTTTTTTGACGAGTTGAATGTAAAATATAGGAAAAAAAGTATATTCGCTGGATTTTTTTTTCACTGAATCATTCCTTCAGCGAAAATAGCGAAAATTAAATGCAAGCAAAAATAAAGTATTTTACAGTATATTAATATTCATTGTGCTGTATGTTTTATTGCATTGTCCTGTCACAGTCTCTCAGTCTGTATAAAAAAAATATTGTATACATGTAGGCGTTGTAAAAATAAACACACAATACAAGTGTTACATAGTACCAAATTAGCTTGAATATAATTATTGATATGATATGGCGCAGTATATATATATATATATCGTGGCTGTATCAATATGTGCGTCGCAGAATTCGCTATTTGATCCAAAAATTTGGTATACGAAAATAGAGATTAATAACTACAGAGACCGTGGCTGCATCGACCAATGGTTGACTCAGCTATCTTAAAAGTTTCATCCAAATAAGTGGATTTGGGAATGTTGTTGATACGCGTTTTGATGCACTGCTATTTTCAGTGTCTCTCATTCACTAATGTACAGTAAAATTTACAATGCATTATGTGGAAAACGTTCTTGTTGAATATGCAGAAACCAACGAAATACTGATACTATTGTAGTTTGTATACCAGTACTTATCCTTTTCACCTCCAGTTCCCTCTTTTCATCACAAAATAGTCCCGTTTTTTGGTTTGCACTTTCCTTTAGAAGATTGGTACAAAAATAGCCAATTTGTTTGAATAAAAACTGTAAATTTGGTCTGTTGGCTCCAAAATTAGTGTTCATTTCAAGAAATATTGAAGAATATAAGAAAAAAGTGCAGAAAATTTGGGCAAGAAGTCTAGTGGTGAAAAGGTTAAAACCAAGGGACTCGATATTTGTATCTATATTTAATAGCTGTTCTATGATAAGCCATGCATTCTATCAGTTACCACTTAAATACCAGCATAAATGTAGTATATGTTGAAATGGAATTGCTGATAACATGATGTATTGACACCAATACAGTAGCGTTTTTTTTTATTCTACTCAATGTTGATATGCTTAAATGATATTTTGTCAGCAATGTGGACGTTTCTTTAGTTGGCAAAAATAGATGAAAGGAAAACGGTTGGTGATCCTGATAATGCATATTAACATATCCACACTATACTGTCTAAAATGAACACTGAAAATAAATTCTGAGAAATATTTTCTATTATGCAGTACATGTATCTCAAAGTGCGGAAATGTAAAATCAGTGAATTTATATGATAAACATTTATTTTGGAAAAATAATATTTTAACAAAGTATATTTTTATGACAATAACTTGCGTTATGAAATATATTATGTAAATTTACAAGCAAAATGACTACATTTTTTTATGTATAGCCAATCAACATTTATACTCCACTCGCATCCCATGTTTTATACACCTGTCGGGAGTGTGCCACAGGTTTAAATGGCAAAGCCAGGTGATTGGTGAAGCTCCAACTGTTTTGAATATAGGGGATCCAGGCTGAAACCTGGTAAGCCATGAATGTTTTGGATTCGTTAAAGCTAATCCAATATTGAAGCCAAACAAAAACATTTAAACAAAATGTCAGTTTATAATTTGTTTCTATTGTCTGATAATAAAAACTGACCACTGTTTCTCCGGATTATATATATTAATAAAGAATTATATATTTATTTAAAACAGCCCGTATAGGACATATACACCACTAATAACATATAGGTTCCTGATAGTATACTGTGAAGAGTGTTATATTCACTGGGTTATATTCACTGGGTTCAATTTTCGTGGATTTGACATTGCATGAATTATCATTAGGTTTATCAGTGCCATAATCATGTGTCGTGTGAATGTGGTGCTTGGTGTACAATTACTTGTAAAGGATTATGAACTATGACAACTTTGCGCATTTTCATTAACACGTTTCGTCATCATGATCGGTAAAAAATAAAACCCAGCGCATAAAATATGTACTCAAAATGATACATAAGCTGATTCTGGTGACTATGTCAGAAGTAATTATTTAAGTTTGTTACAATATAAATCTAGCGAGCCAGTGCTAAACAATGTGAGTGGATTAAGAGCAATCTGTTTTTTTTTTTTTTGTTTTTTTTGTAATTATAGTGTTTACCGTATTTGTCTTGCGCTTGCATGTGAATATGACCCGATCAAATTTGTTTACAAAATTAGTTTAGTGACACGAGCGTTTCCGGGCTTACACTGGTGATGCGCAACCAACTGAGCAAATATGGCTATAACAGTCATGAGTGACTTAGTACAGATACTGTGTTACTCAAAGATGTATTCTATTGGAGACGCGCTTGTAATAGAGTAATCATAGTAGTAGTACTCATCTGTGAACGTATTAATGGACTAAAAATAACATTGTATAAATAAACTCGTGAAAAATCGTGAGTTTTAATTATTTTAATGACCTGTTGTAATGTTTGGTAATTCTTGGGATGCCCCGATACTGTTTGAGAATCTTGGGAAATCGCCGCAAACTTTCCTCGTTATGCACTTGAACCGTTTCTCTATCCAACCTCCCAGAATCCTCAACCCATCCTGCGCCGTGTTAAACAGAGCTGATAATATCATGAGACCAACTATTATGAAAAACGCTACAAACAGTGGCTTGACGTAAACATCGAACGTTCGGGATCCTCTATCCAGAACGTAATCACCAAATCCTATTGTTGTCATGGTGATAACACTGAAGTAGATGCATTCTAGCAAAGACCAGTCTGGTTGTGAAATTTGAACAATGAATGCGATGATGATGACGTACAGCAAAAACAAAAGGATGAGGATGATAAAGGATATAGTCTCCTCTTCATCATGTACGTCAATATGATGATGGGCGTGGGTAGTTTCCTCTAAAGTTGTGCAGTTGGTTTCTGTGGTAACCACCTCGTTGTAATTGTTACGTT